AAAGATGCTTTGATTGGGATCTCCTAGAGCGCCTCGGAGCAGCGGAACCCGTTCGCACATGCCTCCGTCTCCCGGCATGGTGTGAGGTTCTCTCCATCAATGAGGTCATCTACCGAGAGCTTACCATTGAGTTCCTCAGCACTCTCTCCATCAAGAGAATGTCCGAGTTTAACCTCGACAAGCCCGAAGACAACATAACTTTTCGCCTTGGAGGACAGGCGAGACAGATGAGCATCACTGAGTTCACAGAGGCACTCCAGATATACCCACCAGGATTTCTCACCACAGGTGGACATGGTTTTATTTCGGAGCAAATATATCATTCAAGAACAGAATCGGTCAATGCTATGTGGAGAACGGTAAAACAAAACCATGTGGACAAGTCTGACCCTGCCCACTATAAAGGGAATGATCTTCTTCCCCCGTGGCGTATCATCCACAACATTATCGCTCATTCTGTGGCAGCTAGGGAGGGGAGCCCGGGGAGTGTGACCAAGCGGGATTTGAACTTTTTCCTCTCTATGGTAAAAGATCCCCCAATTCATCTTGGTATAGTCATATTGAAAACCCTACAGAAGATCACCTCCAACAAACAAATCAAGACCATCCATGGAGGTGCCTACATCACAAGGCTAGCTCGGCATTTTGGCATTGATCCGGTGGGTTCTCATTGCACCATTGCCCAGTCCACTCAACCAATCTCCCAAAAAAACCTTGCGGATCTAAATTTGTTGTCAAAGGTAAATGTTCCAACCAACACTTTCCTTTTCACAGTGAATGCTAAAACATAACTAGTCGGGATTCAAACAATCTAGGATTGATTTTGTGCAAGTTTTGGATTGCCTACTAATCTAGTTCCTTTTGAACATTGAGCAAATGTAACTAATGCTTCTGATATTGATCATGTCTGTGTTTGGTGGTTAAGGAGAATGGTGTGGTAGGCATTGTTGGCCTCCCTCATCCTGCTCGACCTCTTGCAACAGATGAGGCAAACGCATCGGAGCATGTTGTTCAGCAAATGGTCGAGGAGACTCCGGAACAACCTGCACAACATCACCAAACTACGACTCAAGCCGGACCATCCACCGACAGCTACATATCCCATTTTGAGGCATTGGGTCGGCAGAATGCCCAAATTCTGGAGCAAAATGCACTCATTCTCTCCCGCCTCGATCGAGAGAAGGAAGCTCGACGCTACATCATCGAATGCAACCATCAGATCATGAGGTCCTTGAGGATTGACTACGAACAATTCTCAAGACCTTGGGAACTATCTCCTAGGCCAACCGAGGAGATCAATGAAGAGGGAAGTGAAGAGGATGACGAGGGTAATGACGATGAGCAAAACAAGGAAAAAAATCAAGAGGAGAAAGGAGAGGAACAAAACAAGGAAAGCAGTGAAGAGGACAGTGACACCAATGAGGAAGACAGCAGTGAAGAGGACGACGACGAGGGCAATGGCGATGACCAAAACAAGGAAAAAAATCAAGAGGAGAAAGGAGAGGAACAAAACAAGGAAAGCATTGAAGAGGACAAAGGGAACGATGATGAAGACAGCAGTGAAGAGGACGACGACGAGGGCAATGGCGATGACCAAAACAAGGAAAAAAATCAAGAGGAGAAAGGAGAGGAACAAAACAAGGAAAGCATTGAAGAGGTCAAAGGGACCGATGAGGAAGACAGCAGTGAAGAGGAGGACGACGAGGACAATGGCGATGACCAAAACAAGGAAAAAAATCAAGAGGAGAAAGGAGAGGAACAAAACAAGGAAAGCAGTGAAGAGGACAGTGACACCAATGAGGAAGACAGCAGTGAAGAGGACGACGACGAGGGCAATGGCGATGACCAAAACAAGGAAAAAAATCAAGAGGAGAAAGGAGAGGAACAAAACAAGGAAAGCATTGAAGAGGACAAAGGGAACGATGAGGAAGACAGCAGTGAAGAGGACGACGACGAGGGCAATGGCGGTGACCAAAACAAGGAAAAAAATCAAGTGGAGAAAGGAGAGGAACAAAACAAGGAAAGCATTGAAGAGGACAAAGGGACCGATGAGGAAGACAGCAGTGAAGAGGACGACGAGGGCAATGGCGATGACCAAAACAAGGGAAAAAATCAAGAGGTCAAAGGGACCAATGAGGAAGACAGCAGTGACTCTAGCGAGGACAATGAAGATGAGCAAATCCAGGAAAACAAAGACGAGGACGAGAACACTAACGAGAAAGATGGGCAGTGAAGATGAGCCAACCAAAGTCCTTAGTACTTAGCTATGTGTGTTTGCTTTTGTGCTTGTATGTTTTCCAATTAGAATATTATGATGCACCAGTGTGGGCTACATGCATCTAAACTTAAGCATTAATTAGACAAATTTAATCGTGTTATGGATGTTTGTTTTATAAGACAAATGTAAAGCTTTGACTGCTTTTTACTTTTTGTTAACAGGGTATCTCATCTGATATGATGTACAGTTACTAGAGAAGGATCTATGTAATGCTCGTGTCAAGCTTCAAAGAACATTATGACTCATCTTTTCATAAGCTTGTAGTTTTCACAAACAGTATATTATGTTACTTGCACCATTATAATAAGTACAAGGGTTAGTTGTACAGGTGCATGTCTGTGCAGACTATTTCTGGAAATCTCACGGCCAATTCTGGAAATCCCACGGCCGTGAAAGAAGACGTGGTTTTGGATATGTAATTCTGGAAATATCACGGCCGTGAGATAGCCCGTGAGATAGGCCGTGGATGTAAAAACGCACTTCTCAGTTTCCCAGAGGGTTTCACGGGTTGCCGTCGACATTATCACGGCCGTGAAATGAGCCGTGTTTTGGAATTGAATGCTGTACCTCTCACGGCTCATCTGTTAATTCTCACGGGCGTGAGAATAAGCCGTGTGATTGTCTGGAGATAGGAAAACTACTTTTGCTTTTCACGGGTCATGTCACGGCCGTGAGATAAGCCGTGTTTCCTCAAAATTGTTCCTACACTTTCTAGAGTTGTACCTTTACACTAAATTTAAAGTTGTACCTACACTTTCCTAAAAATTGTACCTATACACTATAGTACAACTTAATGTTGTACCTACACTTTCTAACAAATCCCTCTATGGTACAACTCAAAAATTGTACTTATACTAATGGTACAACTTTTAGTTGTACCTACACTTTCTCAAAATCCTTCTATGGTACAACCCAAACTTGTACCTATACCATGGTACAACTTTAAGTTGTACCTACACTTTCTAAAAATCGGTCTATGGTACAACCCAAACTTGTACCTATACCTTGGTACAACTTTAAGTTGTACCTACACTTTTTCAAAATCCTTCTATGGTACAACCCAAACTTGTACCTATACTAATGGTACAACCTTAAGTTGTACCTACACTTTCTCAAAATTCTTTTATGGTACAACTCAAAATTGTACCTATACTAATGGTACAACTTTTAGTTGTACCTACACTTTCTAATAAATCCCTTTATGGTACAACTCAAAATTGTACCTATACTAATGGTACAACTTTTAGTTGTACCTACACTTTCTAATAAATCCCTTTATGGTACAACTCAAAATTGTACCTATACTAATGGTACAACTTTAAGTTGTACCTACACTTTCTAATAAATCCCTTTATGGTACAACTCAAAATTGTACCTATACTAATGGTACAACCTTAAGTTGTACCTACACTTTTTCAAAATCCTTCTATGGTACAACCCAAACTTGTACCTATACTATGGTACAACTTTATGTTGTACCTACACTTTCTAACAAATCCCTTTAAGGTACAACTAATAATTGTACCTATACGAATGGTACAACCTTAAGTTGTACCTACACTTTCTAACAAATCCCTTTATGGTACAACTAAAAATTGTACCTATACTAATGGTACAACTTTTAGTTGTACCTACACTTTCTAATAAATCCCTTTATGGTACAACTCAAAATTGTACCTATACTAATGGTACAACCTTAAGTTGTACCTACACTTTTTCAAAATCCTTCTATGGTACAACCCAAACTTGTACCTATAATATGGTACAATTTTAAGTTGTACCTACACTTTCTCAAAATTCTTTATGGTACAACTCAAAATTGTACCTATACTAATGGTACAAATTTAAGTTGTACCTACACTTTCTAATAAATCCCTTTATGGTACAACTCAAAATTGTACCTATACTAATGGTACAACTTTAAGTTGTACCTACACTTTCTAATAAATCTCTTTATGGTACAACTCAAAATTGTACCTATACTAATGGTACAACTTTAAGTTGTACCTACACTTTCTAAAAATCCTTCTATGGTACAACCCAAAATTGTACCTATACCATGGTACAAATTTAAGTTGTACCTACACTTTCTAACAAATCCCTTATGGTACAACTAAAAATTGTACCTATACTAATGGTACAACCTTAAGTTGTACCTACACTTTCTCAAAATTCTTTAATGGTACAACCCAAACTTGTACCTATAACATGGTACAATTTTAAGTTGTACCTACACTTTCTAATAAATCCCTTCATGGTACAACTCAAAATTGTACCTATACTAATGGTACAACTTTAAGTTGTACCTACACTTTGTGAAACAAATTCTTCAATGGTACAGCTGAAACTTGTACCTATACTAATGGTACAACTTTAAGTTGTACCTACACTTGTATACATTGATTCATTATTTACAAGATTGCCATTAATGATGTGGGACCAGTCATTTAGTGGGTTTACCTCCTCAATAGGTCACCTTTTTTTTTTGTTTTTTATAGCATGGGTGCTATAGAGCACACTAGAAGGGCTCAGCAAATAGAGTATAAATTGGACAATATTGTCATGAGAGAAGTTTAAAAATATAAATCATTTACTCGACGATTCTTCTCCCTTCTGAAAGTTTATCGTTAGCCGACCACATAATATTGTAGATGACAAATCCATGAAAAGAAAGATTAAGAATGAAAAAAAATCCCTCTATTTTGATATCAACATTATTTAAATTATTACTCTACAAAATATTATGTTGTTGCTCACACGCGAATAGCGAGCTGGCTTATACAAGTACAATCAATGATGCGACCACAAATAAACTGTGTTACTGTTTTCATCTTCTTCTCTTCTATGTTGACTCTCCTCCTAATCTCCTCCTCAATCCATCTTCTTCATCCCCCAAATCACAACTCACCTTCGCATCAGGCGACTTGAGATACCGACAAGAAAAGAAGTTGAAATAGAACAAATTCACCACCGCTAACCCAGCAATTAGAAGGTAGTAATTATCAATCGTAACCTGATTCAAATCTCTCCCACCCAACCATGGTCGGTGCCCGTACCCCGACGTAACATGATGTATCAAATTCACCAACACCGTATTCAAATAACTCGCCACCGACAAGCTCAAAAAGAACACTGCCCCTGCAATTGTCCTCATCGATTCTGGCAAATGGGTAGTCAAAAACTCCATCACCGCAATTGCACCAAATGCTTCGGTCAGCCCCGACAATGCAAATTGAGGCAAAAGCACGAATATGCTCAACGGGGATACGAACGAGGCATGCTTGAGAGCTAAGCTCCTTCTCTTCTTCTCCACGGTTGCCGCCACCACCATACACAGAATCGCCATCACAATCCCGGTATTTATTCTTTGCCTCATCGTCATCCTTTTGTCCTCCTTCTTTGACTTCCGTTTCGCGATTGGGAGGTAAATCCGTTCATAAATGAAAATCCAAATGGAGAGGCAGATCATTGAAGAGAGCCCCATCCACGCCGGAGGGATCTCGAAATTGCCTACTCTGTGATCACATTGGATAGCCTGCATTATCCCCAGAGTGCTCATTTGGTCCATCGATATGAAACAACCGATCCCAGTGAACCAGACGGGCACAACTCCAACGAGTAGTTTCAACTGCTCCACTTGTTGAACGCTACAGAGTCTCCATTGATTTACCGACCTCCCAAACTCATCCAATTCAGTACTTTTATCGATAACCATCGCAGCTTTATCCAAAATCTTGAATCTTTCGGTATGGGGAAGCTTGGGTTCCTGATCTTCTTCCGTCCCGATAGTGCTTGGCGGGTCGTGGAGAGACAGCAGCTCCGGAGCCGTATCGAAACTCACATTCCATTTCCGGCAGCAAGCCACGACAACCTTAGCCATGTCGACAAAGATGCTCCCCTGTGGCTTTTTTATGATGTAGGTGTGTTTCCCGACGAGGAAAAGCGAGATTGAAAGGAAGAGGCAGACAGTTGGGATTGCGAAACCGATCACCCAGCTGATGTTAGTCTGAACGTAGACAACGACTGTCAGAGCTATAACGAGTGCCACTGTGAAAGAGAAGTACCACCAGTTGAAGAAGCTTGCCAGCAGTGCTCTGCCCTTTTCAGTTCTTGTGTCGAATTGATCGGCGCCGAATGCGATGTTGCAGGGTCGAATTCCGCCGGCGCCGATTGCAAGCAGTGCTAGCCCAATGTATAGTGCTGTTAATTGAGTACCGTTGGGGGGCTGGCAATCAGATCCTTCTGGGCAGTTTGGAGGCCTCAGCTTGGGGGCCCATGCTGTTAGTGTCATTGTAGCCATCCCCTGTTTTTATCTTCATTAAAAACAGAGTATGAATAGAGGAGAGAGAAAGAGATGAATGTGAAATTACCAGGAAGGAGGCGATGGAGCCGTAGAGAAGGGTTTTGAATCGGCCGAGGTATGCATCGGAGAGGAAAGCGCCGAGTAGAGGAGTGAGATTGGAAGAGCCAGACCAGACACTGAAGACGTTGACGACGAGAACTCCGTCCATGTTGTATTTGGATTGGAGATAAAGTGTTAAATTGCCAATCAAACCCATTGAAGCCAACTTCTCGAACGACTCATTCCCTGTATAAAGCTCCAAATTTTGAATGATTGATTATTGTCATTAACAGGACAGAAGAAGAGAGAGAAAGAATCAATCTCCTTTCTCTTTTGTTTATGTTTTACCGAGGATGTATTTGACAGATCGCCATCCTCCGGCGGTAGAGTCTGGCCGTGAAGGGGGAGCCAAAGCAGAGTCGTCCTCTGTCGTTGAAGCATCGGTGGTGGAGATCTCTTCGCTCATTTTCGTGTCTTCTTTCTCCTTCTTTTGATTTTGTTTCTCTTCTCTTTCTTCCTGTTGAGGATTCAAACTTTGGAGGGTTCTTCTCGAGTTGTTGGGGCAATCTTGCTCACAGTCTTCTGCTGAATCCGAATTTAATGGGGGAGCTCGGAATAGAAGTAGATTCAATCAAACGGAACTGCCTTGCTATATTTTGCTCGAACTTCCGCATGACATGTCATTCGCCTTTTCAAACTGATTCCCAATTATCAACAAAACTTCTAATACATTTTAAGGGTTTCTAGTTTCTACAAGTATTTTTAGCAAGGGTATAATACTCTTTCGGGACTCTCTACGATAACTTGGATATAATTTTAAGTTAGATAATTTGATTAAATCTGAACCATTAAAATAAATTATAATTACTTTAAACCGTTGATTAAAAAGGGAAAAAGGAAGAAAGAAAAATGAATTAACGGCAATGGGCGGTGCCGGTTTCTTTTTGTTAGCGGAACATTTGTTTCTTTTTTTTTTTTGTTTTTTTTTCATAACTTTCCTTTTCCTATTTTATGTGTCTTGTTTTTCTTTTTCTTTTTAATTATTTAGTTATTGTAATTAATACCATTATGTAAAGGTTACGAAATATAGTTATTTCTTACGTAACAGTAGGGATAGCAAAAATATCTGTAACCGCGGATATCCACCCGAATCCGACCTAATTGGGTAGGGTAAAACCCGAGCCCGAATGATTTTTCGTGGGTACGGGTAACACCCGAACGCGAGTATTGCGGGTAATGGGTGGGTATGATTTTCTCACCATCCAACCCGAACCCGCCCCATTATACACATGCATATGTATTTTGTCTAGAATAATCATTATTTTTCTCTAGAATATTTTATAGTTAGCATAAATATAATATTTCCATGAAGTATGTTGTTTAATTAATTTTCGTCATTCTAGTGAATTATTGTCGTACTTTTCCTCTTAAGTAATGTGAGTATACGTGTGAATGTTAACATATTGGTTGGAATTATAAGTAGAAATTATTACTGATGGATAACCGTGGATACTCGAAACCCGAACGGGTATGGGCATGGTTTTGATTTTCTGTCCGTTTCTCGTGTGGGTACGGGTATGGGTAAAACCCGAACTACATTGGGCAGGGTAACGGATATGCACTATCCGCCCCCGACCCGACCCATTGTCATCCCTACGTAACATTTAAATTAGAAGCATTACATAAGACTTTCGTAATGACTTAGCACTTTACGTAACACGTGGTTAATACTCATTACGTAAAAAGAACCTCGATTACATAAAGATTAGGGAACATAGTTATTTCTTACGTAATAGTCAAATCGGAAGCGTTACGTAATGTTTACGTGATCACTTTACATTTTACGTAATGCAATGTTGGTATTCATTACGTAAAACAACCGTCCATTACGTAAGACTTCCGTAATGACCTTTTACAACTGTTACGTAAGGTTGCCATACATTACGTAACCATTACGTAATGTCTATTGTATTTTACGTAATATGACCTGTGAAACCTGCTATAGCAGGTAAAAAAATTCAAGTTATCTAACTTCAAGTTACCTTAGCAAATCCCTACTCTTTAAAGATAATTATAATTAGTTCTTTTATTAATTAGTTGAACTTTGCTACGGTGACTTGTAAGTCAGCGTAACTTGCACTTTTCGGTTGACCGAAAATAAAAATGGTCGACCTAATCTGCTGTTTTAGTTTTGTGATGCTCAACGACGTGATTGACCTTTTACAGAAAATGGTCGACCTTATTGGCAAGCGAACAATATAAAAGGTCGACCCCATTATCTCACAGGCCGGCCATTTTGCTATCAAAAGGTCAAGCGCATAAATGAAAAGGTTGACCTTTGTTTCATTAACTGATCAATATTAAAGTCGGAATTGAGGAAAATAGAAGAAACGGTCGACCTGACAATGACGTGGTCGACCGCGTGCACACCGTATCTGTGTTGGATAAGGATTCCAACACCCAGAAAGGTAACCCTAACTTGTCTACCACTTAATTCAACCTAATCTCGGCCTAAATATCTAAGTCGTAATAGGGTCGCTCAATTTGTACGATAGTTCGCTTTAGGCCAAGCCCGCACGGTTTTACTCTTGTGTGTACTCCCCAAAAGGCCTCGTAGTAATTGGGCTAGGTGGGCACTTATATACAAGGGTTTCTTCCCCTGTATTTCCGATGTAGTACTTGGATTGTCTCATAACAATCCTTCCCTCAAGACAAGGACCACGAACTTCGTGTCCTATCCTCGGCGATTATCTTGATCCGCCCGACACCTTGTATCGATAGGCTTCTCGCTACAAGGATTTTTCCAAACGCAAAACTCTCTTTGATCTGCTTCCCAAATGCGGAACTCTCTTTGATCAGCCAAGCCGAAACGTGGATCTCTCCTAGATCCACCAAACAGAAGCAAATCGCCTTTGACCCGATATACAAACGCATATCTCAAATCTCGAGGTCACCGAATGAGGGTCCACAAAACTGACGTCCACTGCCCCGAACCAAACAAGGCTCTGATACCACTTGTTGAACCAGGGTGCTCAATTAGTATGATATTGTCCGCTATGGGCAAAATCCGCACGGTTTTACACTTGGGTTTCCTCCCCAAAATTCCTCGTACTAATAAGCTTGGTGGACACTAATATACAAGGGTCACTTTTCTGGTATTTTCGATGTGGTACTTGAATTGTACCAAAACAATCCTCCCCTCAAGACAAAGACCACGAACTTCATGTACTCAGCCCACCGATTATCTTGATCCGCCAAACGCCTTGTATCGATGGGCTTCTCGGTACAAGGACTTTTACCAGACGTAGAACTCTCTTTGATCTACTTCCTAAATGCGGAACTCTCTTTGCTCCGCCAAGCCCAAACGTGGATCTCTCCTAGATCACCAAATAGACGAGAATCGCCTTTGACCCGCCAGACAAACGCAGATCTCAAATCCTAAGGTCACCGAATGAGGGTCCACCAAACTGACGTCCACCGCCTCGAACCGAACCAGACTCTGATACCACTTGTCACAAATCGGGCCGCTCCATTAGTACGATATTGTCTGCTTTGAGCCAAACCCACACGATTTTACTCTTGGGTGTCCTCCCCAAAAGGCCTCGTACTAATGGGCCAGGTGGACACTAATATACAAGGGTTCCTTCCCATGTATTTCCAATGTGGTACTTGGATTATCTCATAACAATCCTCCACTCAAGCCAAGGAACACGAACTTCGTGTCCTCTCCTTAGCGATTATGTTGATCCGCCAGACACCTTGTCTTGATGGGCTTCTTGGTACAAGGATTTTCCCAGACGCAGAACTCTCTTTAATATGCCAAATCAAATGCGGATCTCTCTTGATCCGCCAAACCAGATGTAGCCCAGACGCGGAACTCGCTTTCATCCGCCAAACAGATGTGGATATCTTGTGGATCCACCAAACCAGACGCAGACCTCAAATCCCAAGGTCCACCAAGTGAGGGTCCCACAAAACTGACGTCCACCGCCCCAAACCGGAACCGTGCTCTGACACAACTTTTCAAAAATCGGGCTGCTCCATTAGTACGATATTGTCTGTTTTGGGCAAAACCCGCACGGTTTTACCTTTGGGTATCCTCCCCAAAAGATCTTGTACTAATTGGGCTTGGTGGACACTAATATACAAAGGTACCTTCCCTTGTATTGCGATGTGGTACTTGAATTGTCCCATAACAATCCTCCCCTCAAGACAAGAACCACGAACTTCGTGTCCTCTACTTAGCGATTATCTTGATCCGCCACACGCCTTGTATTGATGAGCTTCTCGGTACAAGGACTTTTACTAGACGCTGAACTCTCTTTGGTCTGCTTCCTAAATGTGGAACTCTCTTTGATCTGCCAAAGCCCAAACGTGGCTCTCTTCTGGATCCACAAAATAGACGCGAATCACCTTTGACCCGCCAGACAAATGCAGATCTCAAATCCCGAGGTCAGTGAATGAGGGTTCCACCAAACTGACGTCCACCACCCCGCACCGAACCAGGATTTGATACCACTTGTTGCAATCGGGAAGCTCAATAATTCCGATATTTTCCGCTTTAGGCCAAGCCCGCACGGTTTTACTCTTGGGTGTCCTCCCCAAAAGGCTCATACTAATGGGCTAGGTGGACACTAATATACAAGGGTTCCTTCCTTGTATTTCTGATGTGGTACTTGAATTTTCCCATAACAATATATAAATACGTATATATGTCACCTTCACCACTATCGAAACTATGAATTTGGTTTTTTGTACGGTTAGTGTTTTGGTGAAGAAGTCGGTTGTTGTTCTTCCTATTCGCCGTCCATATGGTGGACCAACTATAAGTTCAGGTCGACCGAATATAGGTAATGATGTTTTCCTTGCTTTGTGTTTTATTTCCTTCGTTTAACTTGAAATTTGATTTGCTTAGCTTTCATCTTGTAGGATAAGATATTTGGCGAAAAAGAAGATCCTTTGCGGTTGCTCCTGTACGTGTTTGAAGAAGTCGACCACTTGAAAGGGGAGGTTGACCAACTTTAGCTATCACCGCTGTCTTTTTCTATTTCGTAATTTTCTCCATTTAATTTGATGTTTTGATTGTGTGCACAAGAACATTCGGTCGACCTTTCTTTTAATCAGGTCGGCCTTTGTTTGGCAATTGTGAGAACTTGAATTTATGGCACAACACTCGTGTCAAACCCAGTAGGTCGACCCAATTCATGTCATGGTCGACCATTTGTGTTTGTTTTGTTTGTTTATACAGAATGTCGACTTTGGCTTTGCTTTGGCTGTGCTTAAAAGGTCGGCCTGTCAATGTGTCTGGTCGACCTATAAATCTATCTGGTCGACCTATCAATTGTTCCTGGTAGTATTACACATGTTTTTGTTGGTAAATTGGTATTATTCTGCTGGATAGGCCGACTGGGAAGAGCAAAGGTCGACCTAATTGCTTCTTGTAGTAACAACTTATGTCTTCAAGGTCGACCTAATAATATTTTAGGTCGACCACGTCTCTGTTGTTGGTCATTTGTAAAAATTGAAGTTGAATTCTTATATGAATTTTTCTTTAAGTTGA